GGGCTTTGACCCACAGAAGGAAAAGCTGCCCACTGTGGGCAAAACCTACCTTTCCCTGTATTTCAGTAAAATCTGAACGTCTTACAGCAGATTTAGCTGTGATGTGACGAGACGAACCATTGTTGCTTTATGGGTTCGATTGAGTGTTCCACTTAAAAATTCAGAGTTGAGGGTATTTCACTCACACTTTAGAGAAATGCTTAATATAGTAGCGCCATTCGTGCCATTTATGAGTGGCCAAGCGAGATAATTAAAGGTGAAGTGCTATAGAAGGCAGCAGTGCTCGAGTAAAAGAAGAATAAGCCCTCAAGTTGGTGTAAACAACACAGGCTTTAACAAGAAAAGCTCTCTGAATGTTCAGTCCTGCTAATGTATCGGCCTTTTGTGAAACCAGCAGAAACTCATTGTGGTAAGTTTAGTTATTAAGCAGCACATGCTTCGGCTTCTCAGTAGTGACATGTTGCTGCAGCTGCTTTTGTCTGCTTACATTAAGCAAAGCTGAAAGCATTAGTCAGTCGGCTGGCATATTTTGGGTCTGGTGGCTCTTTGGAAACATCTTGTTGGGTCAGAAATACTATTTTAAGCCCATCAAACTGTTATCTAATGTTTTATGCATTCAGATAAACAATTGGGAACAAATGATGTGTTTTTCCAACAGCCTGCTAGTAACAAAGTACCAAAGAGCTCATTTCAAATCAGTCTTTGCCGTTATGTGTAAACACAATGTTGGTTCATCCCTTTAGTTAGGTGCTTGAATAGGTCAAGTGTTTTAACATAAAAACCCCGAAGTGGAAAAGCAGGCAATGTCCAAAGACCATAGTCAAAGGACCATCAGTCCAAAGACCATCTTTGAGAAACTCTGAGAACTGTTACTCAAGACCACTTAAAAAAACAAGACCACAACAAAAAACAAAGAAAAAGCAAGAAAGTGTCTCCCTCGAAGCAAAATAAAGAAATGAGGGGCTCAAGACTTTTGCACAGCACTGTAGTAGTTCCCTCAGAAGCAAGGGTGACCGAGTATCCACACAACTGTTTATTGCTCACATTTATCCTGGGAAACCTTTCAATCCTGCATTTCCAGCTGCCGGGCATGTAACATGAATAATACGTCACAGCCTTGGGGTGTCTGTCCGCTTTTTGAAAGGTTGGTGGTTCAATCCCTTGTTGCTGCACTGTATCCTTGGGCAAGATACTGAAGCCTGAGTTGCTCCTGATGTGTTCACTGTATGAACGGAGGAGTGAGGTTTGTAGTATAGAAAGCTGGAGCAGAGAAGTCCATTTACCCTAATCACCAGACCGCCCTCAGATGGATCCTTTTAAAGAGGTTTGGAAAGCGCAGGAGTCTTAATGATGGCCAGGGTCCTGCTTTTGTGCATGCTGGTTCATCACGGTTTACGGAGACACGGGCATCATCAGTCCCCTTCTGATATTTGAAAGTCTTTCCATACAAAAGGTCTACAGGACACCTGTGAGGTAGAGATCGTGGTCTCTAGCTCTCTAGGGAACATTTTGGTAGAATGGGAAGATGAAAATGTACAATTACTAAAAATTCATTTTTGGAAACAATGTTCATTTCAACAGCAAACGGTGCTGAAGTTAAACGCACGATGTCCAACTGCGTTTTTAAAAATTACTTTTACTGTGCTAGGTGAGTTAGATATGATTTGACCATTTTGAGACATCCTGCTGAAATGCACATTAAAGATGGGGGATTAGGACGTGCGCTTTTTTCCATCCTGTAGGTGGTCATGAATAATGTTAAATTTATGAAAGCGACTGCTGGAGATGAATCCGAGGTATAAGTAAAGGATTTTTTTCTTTTCAAAAGAAATCTCGCCAACTTTGTCTGAATGAAATGTGTTAAAACTTTTTAGAAAAATGAGTTAAAGGAGTGGTAGCAAAAATCATCCCCTTCTATTATTATGGGGAAAATCTCTGGGAAGCTTGTTAGTAAAAGTCTTTCTACATATACACTGATTAGACAAAACATCCTCAATGTTAGAAGCAGGAAAAACAGACAACTGTAAGGATTTGAGCGAATTTGACAAGGACTAAACTGTGATGGAAAGACAGAACATCTCCAAAACTGCAGCTCCTGTGGGATGTTCCCAGTCTGCTATGGTCAGTATCTATCAAAATGGGAAGCAACAGTGGCAAACGAACGACAGGATAATGGGGATCCAATTATAGCTCAAATTGTCAAAATGGTTAATGCTGGTTCTAATGGAAAGGTGTCAGAATACACAGCATCAAAGTTTTATTCTGTATGTGTGTGCAAAGCCACAGGGCGCCCATGCTGACCCCTGTTCACCACTGAAAGCACCAACAATGGAGAACCAGGTGGTGACGTGATCTGATAAATCACATGGATGGCCAGGTGCATGTGCATCGCCTATCTGTGGAACACCTGACAGCAGGATGCACTACAGGGAAAAACAAACTGGCAGAGGCAGTTTGATGCTTTGGACAATGTTCTGCTGGGAAGCCTTGAGTCCTGCCATCGATGTGAATGTTACTTTGATACATACCATCTGCCTAAGCATTGCTGCAGACCATGTACACCTTTTTGGACAGTATTCCCTGATGACTGTGGCCTCTCTCAGCAGGGTAATGTGCGGATAAAGTGGTTCCGGAATGGTTTGAGGAGTTGGATGTGTTGAGTAGTGCTGCCAAATTCCTCAGATCTAAATCCAATCAAGCAAATATGGGATGTGCAGGACAAACTAGCCCGATCCATAGAGGCCCCACTTCACAACTTACAGGGTCTGTTGCTAACATCCTGGTGCCAGATACCACAGCACACTTTTGGGGATCTAATGGTGCCCACGACTTGACGGGTCAGGGCTGTTGTGGCAGCAGAAGGTTAACGAGCACCTGT